ACCGCCTATGTCAGCTTCGGAAGGCTTAACTTTATCTTTTATCTCGTTAGCAATATTTTAGATATCAAAGTGATTGTATTCTGGCACGCAAACATACTGTAGAATAGTTTTCCTAGGCCATGATTTTCTTGTGGGATCCAAACTTTTATTATCTGTTCATCATGTTGTTATTTAACCCTTATGTTTCAGACCAACATAGTTTCACCCGGCGCAATTCGATGTGATGTTGTTGCTGATGTTCGTTGATGCCATTCATATAATGCTTTTTAAAAAATAACTGTCATAACTGTGTTTTAGCTGTTATTCGCGATCCGTGAAAATCCCTGCTTAGAAAGGACTGCCATCACTTTTCACGGGATGAATAAATGAATTTGAAATCAGTTTGCTTATCATTATCTACCTACCTTCGCTACAAATCGTAAAATCTGCACCAAACTTAGAAAAAAGTTGCAAAAGACAAAAAAAACGGTCGCAAACGCAGCACGAATCATCTGCTTTCCAAACAGATCCACTTATATGATTGCGCCACATGGGCATTCTAATTAGATTTGTACTTGTTCAACAGAGCCTCTTCAACCAATCAGAAGGATGTCCTTTCCAAGTACACCTACCAAAGTAACAAACCGGCTTATCTGGAAAAGCTCCTCCACCTTTTGAGGCTATACAATTAGGGCTCTGTGGTTTTGGCTTAAACCCTTGAAAGATGATTAGAATAGTATAAAAAAATCAAAAGTTTTATCTACACTTCATCTACATTATTTGTTGCTGATCTGGTGTCTGTTGGTGTGCTCACCGAATTTGGCAATTAGCTTGCAAGTTGCAACGTATTCTTGTCAAGTACCTTGCAGCCTTTCAGTAAAATGTGGACAATAACTTATTTTCTGAACAGCAGCAGACCCTCAAGTGGCCTTATAGACTAAATAAGAAAGATTTTTAGTGTTAAGCAGAACAGTAAACGTATATCGTGGCAGTTTAGCTCCTCAAAGAGGATCATTGTGACTATTCTGTTTACAATAAGAATATATCTGACATTGGGAGCATGAGTAATAAGATATAAGGGTGTGAGAACTCGTGGTGTGTAAGCGAAACCCGACTTTCAATGCAAATGTTGTGACTTGAGCTTCTTTTCATGTTTCCATATCTTTCTTGAAAATGGAGACTCGCCTGGTGTCTCAAGTTCAAGAAAACGGTGAATCATTATAACCAAAGATAATGTCAAAAGTTTTTCTGAGCTTTACGATTGGATGTTTACTCTATGTTCGTCACCATGACGTTGGAATGTTTTTTTGGGAAGCTGATTCCTTGAACCCAATCTCACTAATTGTTTTTCTGAGTATTCAGTTGGCATGCACTTTTCCGCAGTTGTTTTGGGTTGTAGATGTTTTTTCTGTATTTGAGAGTTATATGTTCTATTTAGACTTTTCAAAAATCGCCGCCTGCTTTTTTTTACCACAAAGAGATCTGAAATCTGCTTGTAAGTTGAAACGCTTTCACCTTGTCTGTTTAGAAGAAGTATTATTTTGCGCTTTTCCATCTGCCTTGAGCTGGAGTCAGGGATTTGACTGACCCCCAAATCTAAGCTAAAGAAGGAAGATGTCTAGTGCGAACATCGTCCAAACGTAATTTCAATAATCTCGTGAAATGCGGTTTTGCTACGTCCGGGTAAAAGCGACCTGCAAAGCCAGTATTCCTAAATATCTTACATGATGTTCTGGCTTAAGCCAGAACTCCACCGCTTTGTTGTAAGTACAACTGGGGTTTCCACACAATCGTTGATTTGTTTTAGTAGGACAGTGACTCAAAGCATGTGGAAGCAATTTCGAGCATTTTACCAACAGTTTCATCGAAGCAAATACATAACGGGCATGTGTGGTATAACTACTCATGGAGAGCTATCCTACGGAACAAATGGAATGTGCCAGGGATGTAACAGGCTTACGAACGACAATTTGCCGGCTTATGTCGAGATTCGGCTTTCTACTTGAAGCTAATTTATGCTGAAAAGCCGAAAAGCATTGTACAGCTACTCTATCCATGCGGTAATTCATCACCATCGCGCAAATGTATAAGGAGTTCGGAACACGGAACATTTCGGTCAATAGTTTGAACAGATTGCTGTAACCAAGAATGCGATCCACTGTTTAGAAAACTGTCGGAGATTCATTGAAACATATTTGATAAAAAACGTGCAGGGCTGTCTTATCGTTACTAAAATACGCTGCCGGAAAATGTTCGAAAGTTTATTTTACTCCTAATCTCAATAAGTTCATTCGCAGAAACTAAGCCCGCAATGTTTTGTTTATTTCGAAAGTGATTGAACTCTGGTAAGACACAGATTTATGGGGCTGCGAACAAATCATGGGTTTTAGCCAACTTTGGCGTCGTACGGGGTCCCCAGTGGAAGGCAGGAGAGCATATTATTTCCAAAGATATACGCAAATTTGGCAAGATGTCATATATGCTTTTGACGTTACTCAGTGGGACAGGCTGGATCCGGTTAGCACTGTAACAGTAATGTCTAACGTTACTCACCTCCCGGTCGGCTAAATTTTAATTCCTCCGTCTTGCAAGTGTCTCTTGCATTGGCTTTGACGATAATACGAATTAAATCTTCGCAAACTGGAATGCAGCCTCAGCTCAGATGACCTTTGAGCAGGTGTGTCCCCATACGTCTGTAAGATACCCGATATCACAATCAGCACCCTCCACTTAAAACAAAAACACTTTTACAAAGAGATCCAAATATCAGAGTTTGTTCCCATATATTGTTTTCGGAACTTGCCTGCCCTAGTTTGAAACAGTTTTTTTTCAAGTTTGGGACACTGCTTGTGCTTTCGAGTATCTTGCGAATACATGGGAACAGCCCTGTTCACATTTCATTTGTGTGACGGGTGCTTCTCAATTTGTAAAGGTTTCGGAGGGTTGTCGTTTAGTTAAGGTTGCTAGATTCCTAAAAGCTAATCGACTCAACAAGGGCGGCTTTCTCCAGTAACGCTCCGCAATTAACCAAAATGGGTTGATTAATAGCCCGCAGGATATATTGTTGCGTTTAGCCGATAAATAGAATGGTACCGACCCGAGAAATAATGTAGTAATCAAAACTGAGGGTTCGGGGAAAACAAAGATTGCCAGTCTCGCGTAAAGTTCGCCGGTCAGACGACTTCTAAGGCGCCGCTGATTGATGCTTGTGTAGTGGTTCTGTACAGGGCAACAGACGAGACGGTCATTATTCATCTTTCCGAACACGTGAGTTAAATGTATGTAAGACATGCGATACATGCCGTTAAATACTCAGTGACCTTGACGACGGTGAAATCTTCAGACCATATGGCGAAACCATCGGGGCGGCGTGCCCTGGACATCAAGACTCTCCAGTTGCGTTGGAAAGAGGCTCAAACCGTTGAGAACAAAAATAACATCTTATTTTTCCGGATAATTTGCGTGAACGAGTTATAATCACAGTGTTGAGGCATGTTCGTAGCCGTAACATTTCATATTCATCAAAGACCCAAATCAAGAAAGGTCCGGTTACGAACGAAGTAATTCACTAAATTACTAGCAAACTGGACGCAGGCTTGCCAAATACAAAAGCTTGGTGCGGTTAGCATATAAGTGTTAATGTGGCGTTGATAGCTATCCAAAGGGAACCACTACCGCAATCAACGCCATTATCCCAACTGTTTGATCAAATTACGGTGTCCTGAAAAGCACGAAAACGCTGATAAAAACGAAGCGTTTCGTTACAGTAGTAGGTGAACTCAGAAAAGCTTTCTGGTAGAATTGTTCTGGTTCTCGTCGTATTCAAACTACAGGCTGACATTTGCACTAGGGACTTATGACTTTCCTTATTTTAAAAATTGGGTGCTTATAACCAAAGAAGCTCATGTTTTCTGTCCGCCAACCGTGAGAAAAGTGTCCTGCCGCCAAATACCACATGTCTCTAGGGTTCCTGATGATTCATAATGTGAAAACGGCTTTTGATAAAAGCCAAATGTTAATAATTGTTTTCACGTTTATCGGGAGACGGCTCCATAATTATGAGTCTGCAATAACCACAACGAACTGGTGAAAGAAAAAGGGTGCCTCACGGTTTGCTGAAATCCACCACAGTTCATATCAGTATAGTTCTCCTACCTAGTAACTCAGCTGTATAGTAAACAAAATACAGACCAGTGTGTTAATGTCTAAGATGAGAATGCCAAATGAATTAAATTGTTAGTGTCTCACTTCTTAATCTCCTGATACTTACAATGGACTATTAATTTATCTCAAAAGTTATTATATAGAAATCCAAGTGTGTTTATGAAAGCGTGGAAGTTGCTGACTCGAGGTCCACAAAATAGTTACTCAAACACCAACCGACCTAGAACCTGAAAACTGCGTACATCAGGATTTCAAAACCTGGCTTTTAATGATCTTGTTCCTTGTTATAAGTGCTTAAATATTCATAACGGCTATCTAATGAATTTATTTGTGATAATCAAGTAAGTTTTGTAGTGTTTCAACTCGAAAAAAAAAAACAAAAAAAATACAGCTATCTTTATAGGTTAGTTGACCTGTAATATGTAGCCAGTCACGGATGATGAATGTAATGCTCGAAACAAGTAGACTTAGTGGTGACTAGCTGCGGATTTTTAGCGATATACAAGGAAGCATCGGATTTCTAAAAACACCACGTGCAGTAGCCAGTGGAGTAAAGTTGGCCACCGATTGATTTTTAGTATGACAGCCGCCCTCATGGTGAGTCAAAATGGCGATTAGATAAAATCTTCAGTAGTTCGGCAACACCTGTATGTTTGATAAATAAGTGACTAACTGTGTTGCTCCAAAATGGAAAATCCTTGGCCTTACGCAACTTCAGTGGAGGGAATTGGAACTCACTTACAAATAGACCTGACAAAATTATACGAATAAAATAGCGACCAACATGCGCCGCGAATGCGAGAACAAGATGAATCTATGCGAACAACCATTGTCAAAATTCTAAAATGGCTACTTACTGAGATTGTTGTATTATTCCGTATCTGGAGCCTGGTTTCCAAGGGACTTTGATCTCTGTGTCATTGTGATACCAGGAGATCAGAGGCGTAGGCCTTCCGCGAACACGGCATGTCAAAAGCACGTCATTATTTTCGTCGGCCTCAAGTTGATCCGCATGATGCAACGGACGCATTTGCAGTGGGTAGGCTGAAAGGTTAAACAAACCAAATAATACACGTTGATGGTATTAAAACGTCTGCCTTAGAGGTAATGTCAAAAGCATTAAGATTAGCAAGCAAGTTATGCTAATGGTGTACTTTGCGATGAGCGCCACTGACATCCATCTAGTGAATCGTCCGCGGTGAACTGAAACAAGTCACTTATCTGGTTGTTCCTTGCACCCTGAGTTTTTCTATCTCTTGTCGTCTACAAAGATAAGTAGGGAATTTTACTCCACAGTCGATTTCACTTGTGGATAACACGCTTGAATAAAGAAGAGTTCATTACTTTTAGCTCCACGCCATTAAAGATGTGGCTTCCAACAGATGCTTACGTAAAAAATTCATTCTATAAAGCTAAATGATCCCTAACGAGGGCGTAATAAAAATATCAGTCACTTCAATAGACGCATTTATCGGCGTCAAATTACATCGGTTGTTTCAGTGCATCAGGTTAAGAAACTGAGTACAATAAAACCAGTTTTTGGAGCAGTAGTAAAAGCCATTCGTTGTGGATTGAGAAAAACCTGGCGGTTTTCTAAAGAGACCTTTTTTGTCGTGTTGGTTTAAGTTGTCAAATATCTGCATACATACCGCGGCCCGCAGGCCAACTTATTTTGTGGTATGTTCCAAAAGTGAACTAAGAAAAACAAATCCAAAACAGTGCGACAAATTGAGTCTGTTGGTTCGCTAAAACTCTGTTTCCTGCTACCCGGTATTGAGTTTCGTACCTAAGAACATCACGCTGTTTTTATCTGTAAACAACTGCAGTTTACCGAAAAAAAGTAGCTGCAGCGCGAATATGAATACTTCCGCAATCAAGAGGATTAAAGACAGCGGTGAGTATGGGGTAAAAAGGAATAAACTGTTTCATCCAGATGAAACAAAGTATGTCGTCAAATTTTATTCGATCAACATCATAAGTCAAGGTATCCCTAGCGGTCTGGATGAGGTCACTGCAAACAGGATGTAGAACGCTTTCAATGAATGGTTTCATCACTTTTCAGCTCTGTGATGGACATCCCTGTTTGTGCAGAAAATGACAAGCAAAAACAAGAAGCCAAAGATTTGGTTGGCATATTCTAAAATATGAGAAATGCTGAATGGCTGATTTCATCGAAGCACAATCTTCTTATTCCGCCTGAATTATAATGGGGTCTTTCCTGAATGGGTACCAAAAGCTTCTTCAGCAGTCATCACTTACGGGAACTATCAAGGTGACTATGAGTGGTACTTAATGGAAGCTATAAAAGCTGCCTTTGAAAAGACAATCTTCTTTGGGAAGATGAATCCTGCTGCAGGAAACGCACCTATGCCTTAGAAAGGAGCATGTAAGATCTCCGAACTTTATTTGCTCTGATCAGCACCACAAGCTAAACGGCGTTCACATAGCTTATTTGGCTCCGTGACACATTGGTCTTTGTACTTTTTCATGAATTTCAGACCATGTTTACACGTGATCCCTGATATCATATCAAAGCCAAAAGGAGCAATCTCAGAAACACAACCTTTGTTTAGTTCCTGCGTTCCTCCCATGTTGCACATCAATTAATCCAGATGTCTGTGGAAAATGCACACTTACTGAAACTAAGACCCCCACATTGTATATATATATAATTTGTGACAAAAATAGGCTCGCCATTATTGTTGTAAAATTAAACTATGTTGTATGTTGCAGTCAAACTAGTGTAATCATATCCATTTGCAGAATATACATATTTGGGTAATATATGAACCCTGAAACAAGATTAAAGAAGCACACCCTACTGGATATGTGTGCTTTCGAGATAGGGGTAACAACTCATGGTAAAGATGACACGTAGAGCTTACAGGAATTTAGCTTTTGTAAACGGACAATAAAATGTCAGAATGCAAAAAAACAAACACGGTTTGACCACGGGTCATCTCGTGCCATCATCGTTTTAAACATCTTAATTATGCCTCTGCAGGTTTCGCCCCGTCAGACCTCCGAAAGTTACTGTGACATACCATATGGTATACAAGTGATATTTTGACTGGCGCCCTTTTGTTTTTGTTCTAGAGCAACTTCAAGTCAGTTCTGGGACCACAGACCTTTGCTTGTTTTTACATTTGGTGTGCTAATATATCCCACAGAACTTCAGTCGGATTGGAAGGTTGACTATAAATTAGACGGTCAGAAACCTCCGAACCGAAACCAGCTGTTGATGGCGTTAGCGTGCGGAACACCGGGTTACCTTGTTTAATTATCCCGCCCTCCTGTCTAGTCATGGTAACAAATGTCAGTATTGGATGCTCTACTGTCTAGACTCACGTAACAGTGACTTTGCAGCCGTTCAGTACTGCTAATTTGCCCCAGACACTTTAAGGGAAAATGCAAGTGGCAGTGTCATGCGTTAGGGCACGGATTGTCTTTCAGCTGATTTTTTGTGTAATGTTGCCAAAGCCGATGCGCGAGTCACTTGCAAGATAGAGGAACAAAAACCTAGCCGGGCAGGGAATGAATAACGTTAGATTTACCTATTGCAGTAATAACACGAACCAGTCTACACCATTCTCTTTCTGAGTGATGCCGACTGCATAGATAGAATGTTGTCAAATAAGCGCACATCTGGAAAGGATATATCTCCCTGACTTCCACTGGTGACCTCGTAAGCCGCCGGAGTTGGCTGATACCTCAAACCCACGGATGGCTTGCAGTCCTACAAATTCGTTTAAGACTGGGTTTCAATATTTATTGCAAGAAACTATTGTACATAGTTTGTTGGCTTGGTTTTAACGAACCTGCTGTAATTTCGGGTTGTTAAAAATAAGACTAAAACAGGCTTGAAAGTTTTACGGCGTCAGTTACGCAGCTTAGTTTAATGACAACAACACATCCCACCAAATTATTCGTCAGACATGTATTACCAAACTTTCGGTATGTTTAAGGGCAGAAGATTGGATTTTCTGATAAATTTCCAATCTTCTTTTCAAGTGATAATATAGAAAAACGGTGGTGAGTCTGTTCAACAATTTTCCTCTGTCAGTTCTCGTTCCAATATAGCCAGATTACCGCGCACATACAATAACATGCGTTTGGCGCTTTGTCCTGGAATACCACTAGTCCTCAATACAAAATAATCCGATTAACTTGCCTTGCCTTCGTAATCGAGAAAGGCAGTTAAGCAGGCGAGAAAATGAAGCACAAATATTGTGAACTTTGATGCATAGGCCAACCGTATGACAACATTTTGATCGAGTAGGCAACTTGAATGTCCCAGAGAAATGTTGTAAATTTGGACGACACGAATTAGCACTCAGTGGTCATCTTAGTGTAGACAAAACGCTTACTGGAAAAAGTCTGAACCTTGGTCTTAATGGCACCGATTTCAATGCGTGAGCTTGCTGTGCAAACAGCTACTTATTATCTAATAGAACGACCAATTAATAACGAATTCTGGATAACTAAACAAGCTGGTTGTGATCTTAACATTATATCTATCAATTTTTTGGGAGTTAGAAATGGCGGCGCTTATTGTGCAGGTTGACGGTGGTAAGGAAATCACGGTAGATTGACAAAACACATGGTACATCCATCTATACTACTTATGGACAATAGAGTTCACAAAGAAATATGTGATCATTACCATCAATAGTGTCAGTGTTTATGCGCGTATGGAGCTGTGTTCAGCAGTCAACTCGTTAGTTTAAGTTCTTGCCTGTTTCATCAGTTCAGCTACTGTTAACTTCAAGTCACTAACCCCTGATTGCATTTTCATATATCAGTGCATCAACGAGTCTTTCTGAAGTTTTTTGGTGACATATAAATCATTGCCGTTCAAAAAGTGACGCTAGGTTTTTGTGAATTTTTTTTACTTTCAGGCCAAATGGAATTAGTTGGAAGCGTCTTTTCCTACAAAGTAATTTTTTACTTTAGAATGGTAGTTGAAACACAATAAGGCATGAATACTATAAGACATTTTGGAGGCAATTTATATTCTGCTGATATGTGCTATCGAGCATAAGCCTTTTAGATCCGGGATGAAAAAAATGGAAAACGAGTTACTTGCAACACAAAAACGAGTAGTTTCCATTTCTTCCAAGCAACGCTAGAAAGTTTCACCGACTGCTATTATCCTATTGGGATTTGGACAATCTGCTCACACAATGTCTATTACTATAAGTTTTATTGTGAACCATTTCACTGAAACATACTAATATCCACCCTTTCGCACATTTTCCCGTTTACTAATAAACCTTTGACAAGCCAGTACACTTCAAACCGACAGTGATCAAACATCAGCGTTTGTTTTCAGTAGATGTCCGAATTCCAGGAGATGTATATTCACTGTGTATTGGAAAGTGGTTTAATGATCAGATGATTATTAATATTTGTACCAATAGTTGGAAATTAGTTCAGAAAAACCTCAAGGCCATTTGCGAGGAACTTACACATGTGCACCATGAATTGGCTGATTTTAACCTCAACCTCTCCGAAATCCACACCGGAATTCTGCATAGAGTCTCTTCTCTGTGATTTCTTTTGGAATGACATATTTTTTGTGTATATGTGCTTCAGTGCATATGATGAAATCGGTTTACTTCATCACCTTGGACATTTTCCGACAAAATCGACGCCTTTAGGATCACGGCGACCATCACTGTTGCAATATAGTGACCATCGCACGTCAGCAAACCATTTCAGTGTTGTACATTCACCGCTCTGTCAGGTAGGTATTGTAGTTCTTTTATGACTCAAGCCTCACTTAAAACTGTTTACATACGAACGGCACGTACACAAACACATCGACTGCCCAACAACTCACAAAGTTCCGGGCCAATAAAAGTTTGGCATTGTGTGAGAACAAAAGGGGAAATGCCAGGTAGTGATCACTGTTCACACATTTGCACGCAACTAAACCACCTGTTTGCATAAAACTACAGTGGTGCGTATGTATGTGTGTTTACTCGGCGCGACAAAAACCAAATCCGTTTCACACACACAATAATGTTAGATTCAAATAGAGG